CGCAGCGACAATGATAGGCATGAACGGATCGTAGTGTGTCAGTAATAGTTCAGAGCTTATGATTGTTTTCAGCTTGTATAATGCAGCTTCATATTCTTTTGTTCAGTTCCAGCTGGTATTCTTATTCAGTAGATGATTTAGCGGGACGCGTATGTCATGCAGCGACGGAACAAAAGCTGATTAGTAGCTAATTATTCCTAGGAATGATTGTAGCTCAGAGATATTAGTGGGAGTTCGCATCAGTTTTAAAGCTCCGATGTTTTCAGGATCTGGTCTGCTACCTGCGGCATCAAAGATGAATCCCATGTATTTTACTGACTTCAAGAAAAGCTGGCATTTTTCTAGGTTTAATCGGAATCCGTTATCGCTGACGTTTTTTTAGTACAGCCGTCGTGCGTCCTCTAAGCTGTTCTAACGATGTGACAACAATTAAGATATCATCGAGATAATTTGCGACCCCCAGGATACCCGATAGGATGATATCCATAAGTTGCTGAAAAATAGATGGAGCTGTTTTAACACCGAATGGTAGGCGATTGTACTGAAACAAGCCACGATGAGTATTTATGGTAAGTAACTCTCTCGAATCCTCAGTCACTTCCACTTGTAGATAGACATCAACGAGATCAAGCTTTGCAAAGAACTTCCCACCATTTAAAATCGTGAACAAATCTACAGGGACTGGAAGTGGGTAATGATGCTGTTCGAGAGCTGATTTAAGACCTGTGGAAAAATTTGAGTATATTTGGATTGTGCCATTAGTTTTCTTAATAACCGCAATGGGTGCTGCCCAGGCAGAATAAGAAATAGGTGTAATAACTCCCTGTAGTTGAAGGCGGTTAAGTTCTTCATCAACTTTTGATAATGCTGCGTACGGCACTGGCCTCTTTAGACGGAAGACAGGTTTAGCTCCAAGTTTCAACCGAAATGTTGCTTTCATAGCAGTGCAGGCTGGAAGATGGTTGAAAACTCGGTCATTAGTTCATGAGGTTGTTTCCCTAGATGGCATACGGTGCCTAACGGAACGTCAGCTGAATGTAGCTGATCAAACCAGGTAGATTAAGATCAGCTAATGTGATGTAACACACCCCGATAAACGTCGAATCGTGAAAAGAAACTTTACAATCTAGTTACCCCAACAAACGTAGATAGTTACCGCATACAGTTCGAGGTTTCTGTGTTGTCGGTGTTGTGCGTGGCCTTCCCATTCTGATCCAATATTTTCGTGAGAGAATTGTTATGTCCGATGCAGTGTCTATTTGCAATATAAACGGGCACCGATTAATATTATGGGTAATAAATGTCCTCTCACCTTGGGTTGAGTTCTGACAGCTTGCTATTAGACTCAACGAATTCGTGTTGGATCTAGGCGTAGGCTTTCTGGTACCTCTGAAGCTGCTCAGCTTCTTTTTTCGACAAAAAACCATCTTTATGACCCACCGCATTACATTTCCTGCACCGATGTTGTTTATATGGACAGTTTCAAACAAAATGTCATGCACAGCAGTGCCAGCATGAATCGGGAGGATTTGCTTGTGTCTGTCGACCTGAACTAGATGTCGCTGGGGCAGATTTATGCGTGTTGGGTGGTTGTTGGACTACATGAACTTTGGTGCGATCTGAACCACCACGCTGGACCATCGCAGTGTCACGCTGTAGATTGATTAGGCGTTGATATTCGTTTGCAATACCATTAAGTGTTAGTTTTGGGTCTTGGTCCAATCGACTTAGCAAGCGTGTTCTAATGTCACTGAACTTCTGCGATTGAAGGCCGCAGCTGAGAATGAGTACTTTAAATTGGTCTTCAGTAAGCCACTTCAACCGGAAGTGTTCGCATTCTCGGTTAACGATACCCACATGCGTTAGAAAATCAGCATCTTCATTCAAAGTGAGCTTCAAACATCGATAGCGTGCATTGAATAGCGAGGAGTTGTCTCCGAATTGTTGGTTCAATAATAGGACAGTTTCCGAGAATGAGCGATCGCGTGGGTTTAGAGGCAGAATTAGGTTGCAATACCTGTCTAGTTCACTAGGACCCAACTTCCGAAGCAGCAAGCGGACCTTACAAACATCATCCTGGTTCACAAAGTCAAATTTGAATAAGTTTTCGTAAAGTCGAAACCACATATCAAACGTGGCATTGGATTCTGGATCATAATGAAACTCGGAGATAGTGTTAGCTGATGGTGCAATAGTAGTAGGATTAGAACTGCTTGGTTGAGTATTAGACGTACGCTTTGTATCTGCTAACATCTGAATAAGTTTCATATGCTGCTGGAGTAATAATTCAAGTTTAAGAGGATCCATGTTCCCGAAACCACCGTCGCCAAATTTGCGATTATGAACTCACTTAATATGCCAACAAGAACAAAGACTCAGTGACTAATGACCAGTAAGCTAGCTACTGATGCGTCCAAGCCCCGCTAACTAGAGGAAGAAGTCCAAGCTTGGAATGGGGAAGTATATTTTGCAAACAGCCAGAAACAAGCGAACACAACAAACAATTCAAAACGTTCATATACAGTACAAAACCATCCTTGGGGAGTGTACCAAATAGCATACTAAAAGACGAAATGGACGAATGACATTTAAGATATTTCCCAATGGGAAATACGTTATGAATGTGACAAGAGCGCCTTTGGCGTGAGAACAAAGAAATCCAAATTTTCTAAATAAAATTACAAAATTAGGTCCTTTTCCAAGCGAGCTCTGGGGATCAAACGTCCCCAACAAAACCAAACTAAACTGTTTATCAAAACACTGTATCACTTATTTTTTCTTGTATTACATCAGATTATTTTAATTCGTATTAAATGATTATTAGCTTATAATAAAGTGCAGTACAAATTCTAAACGTATTTCTTAGTTAAAGTGGTGAGACTATAATTTATGGACGACCTATGAGCGACGCTTAAGTGAGCTTGAGAATGAGGTTTATGAAGCAGCTAGAATTCTCATTTACAGTTGATGGTTAAGGTTAAAATCTAGATTTAAAGTTTTCATCACGAACTGACATCAGCTATAATGCCAAAACTCTATTTAGCCGAATGTATGGATGAATTTCGCGCCACTAATCGTGACTTGTTATCTTATATCTGATTGGTTCGTCCATAAATTATAGACTCACCTCGAAACTGACAATTTTTCATTGTAATTCTTATGAATAGTACTGTTGATGTTGATTGACATATGTTATTCACAGTGGTGATGGTAGATTTTTACTTTCTTTATTTTAAAAAATCATTTTCCTTCTACAGACGACCACTAATAGACAAAATCTGCATGGAGAAGTAATTAATCTTAGACAAGTAAGACTGTAGTCAGTAAATTAAGTTATCTGACAATAAAGATGATGATGAAGAAGAAAAAGTGAAAAAGATTAAAATGGATGAGCTTTTTTTCTTTAATATAAAGATGATCAATAAATCAAGAACTAGATATTCATCAATCACTTAGTGAGAATTGTAATTATTACATGGTTGCTAAATCATAATAGTTCAATAATCATGAATCTAGTTATTGTATCATTGGTTAAATCGCACAGATACAAAGTGAATTTATGCTTACACATTACACCAGATAGTTGCGATTAGTTTTTTTTCACATTTTATGGTGACAGGTGAAATGAAACAATCATTCATTCATAAGCTATTACTTGTATGCCTTATACCTTTATGAATGAATATCCAGTACTGGAAAAGATGAAATCACATTGACATATAGGCTATAAATTGCTATCTAATATTTTGTTCAATCATATACATTGTATATAGATAAATATGTACATTTTTTCGTTCAATAGTTCAATAGGCCAAAATGAGTTGATTTCATTTCATTTGATGATTGACAGGCTAGTTACTGGATTGGTTACCGTATCCCAGTGTATGTTTAGCATTTGAAAAAAATTCTTGTATCCCCTCACCCTCTCACTCACTCTCTCTCTCTCTCTCGCCAATGTGATTATTATGATTATTAATATTTTACACAAAATTTTGCAGGGTCAGTATTATAGACAGACATAAATAGCACAGTTGTACATACAAGACAAAAAAATAAATTAAGAAGAACCCAAAACTGCACCGAATCAAATTAGATACAAATTTATATCTCTTTCCAATGAATATAAATGTTATATATATCGATGTTTAATTTTACACACTTCACCAATACATACAATCACATGCATACATACATACATACTACTTACATACATACATACATATAAACATAATGCATCAAACAAGTAACGAAACACTACACCATGAAATCCTATTCATGTAAAAGGTATACTGAAACAAAATTAACTGTGAAGAAACTCTCTTTTTTTTCATTACTCAATCTAATATACTACACTAATATAAGTATATATATACATGTTCTATTGAGATTTAATACCATTTTGAATATAATCACTATTGATGTTTATTAATATCATAATACACAATACAATAGTCTTATTCATTATATCTATAGATAGATGGATACGAACACATGGTCATGACATTAATACGAATTGAATTATTCATTTAAAACATACTTATAATTAAATGAATTATTTGTACTACAGTGTTTATTTGTTTTAAACCCAATTCTTTTCATTGTTGTTGTTGTCGTTGTTGTAGTTGATTTACTCTTCTATTCTCTTTCTTTTCAAAGAAAGAGAAAGAAACAAACAAACAAAGGGAAATCACACAGTAACTACTTTTATATACATTATCTACATTATAAATATTGAAACATAATTATCACTTTGATATTACATAATTACTCAGTATAATTTAATAGAACTACAACTACTACTACTATCACTACCGATAATCACTTTATATGATCATTTCAAATAAGTATAGTTTATCTGTTTGTTTCTTGCTTTATGATTGTTTAACTTAATCACATCAATTTGTCATTTGATTTTCATATGCTACATTGTGAAACATGAAATAAATGGATAAAAGTATAAACATTGATATTATGGAATGAGAAATAAATTTAAAGATATAATGCAAATGCTTAAACTTTATAATTTATTTTTTTTAATCATTTTATCATATAATATTTATGGTCAATATATAAAATCATTGCCGGACCATTTGAATAGATTCAAGTTTCCTGTTAGATATCTTTCAGAAAAACATTATTTACCAAATATACTATCATCATCATCGTCGTCGTCGTTGTCGTCATCGTCAAAGGAAGGAGTGGTAGTAGTTCCAGAAGCTTCTGTAGCACAACTAACTTCATCATCATCATCATCTTCTTCTCTAGTGTTTCCATCTTTTATACAAACCAAACTTCAACGTAAATTTTCAGATTTTCATGATAAATTTTATTTTGATGATGCATCAGCATTATCTGCTTCTAATTCTTATTCATCAGAAAATAATCTTCCATTGAGTAGTAAAACTGCTAGCAACAACTCAACTACTATTACTACTACTAACAATAATAATAATAATAAGATTATCATTGATGAAATCAATGATAATTTACAAACTTCCTATTTATGGAATAAAGAACAAGAATTAAATCCATACAGACAACAAATAGCTCAACAATCACGTTTACTGAATCAATATTCTGATATTAAAAAAACAAAATTTATGAAATTGCCTACCTCTTCATCATCTTTTCAAAAGCTTACAATATACCCTTCATCAATTATACAAAGTAAATATAATAAAAGTTTATCAAATTATGTTGATTATCAAAAACAACAATCAAAGTATAAAACTCAGTTAAAATGGCAGAATCAACAAAATCCAGTAATTAATTCAATAAAATTAAAACAGAATACAAGTAATGCAGAAGAGAAAGTACCTCATATTAAAGGACGTTGGTGGTAAGTATAGAAATTTACACATTACTGATATAAGTATGAGACCATGGATATGTACAAATACGTCCCTCAATACTTTCCAAATGTCTTGTGGCATTAATTATATATATATATATATATATATATATATATATATATATATATATATATATATATGCTTTGTCTGATAAATATGTACATAAGGTACATAACTCTAATCACTATTAAAATACTCCAAATTGTCAGTAAAGTTACTATCCCATTTCCCTTTTTTAATGATCAAAACACCCCTAAAATTCTCCACTATTCATGATCTCCATGTGCATTATCGTTTCATGTTTTGTTTTTGGAATTTTGGTCACGAATTATTTTAAAAAAAAATTAAAACTATTAGATAAAAATAATACAGTAAATTTCGAATAGGAAGGTCTAGAAAATTTTACATGTTTGTTGTTCTCATCAACATATGAATTGAACGATTATCCTGGCCTCATATCATTCATATAACCATAAGGATTCTTTTTAAAAGATCCGTTTTCTTCAACACTTTAGCTCTATGAACAAACTTAATGAATAAGTAAAATTTCTGAAATGTTTCTCGGGTTTTATTGGATACTTCAATCGTTCAATCTATGTATTTATATGGGAGATTCATATACTTGTGTATTTGTGTTAACTCAATTCACTTGCTTGAATTAATTCAGTAAAGCTTATATGTAGAATTAAACAAAGTTTAAGATTAAAAGAGAGATGAAAATCTTTAATTTGAGATGGTAGTCTAAACAACTAAAATACCATTCTAACATTAGAAAAATCTTGTATTTCTGTTAACCTTTTATAAGATGATATCAATTTAGAAGTTCGTAAGACATATTTTAAATGAAACTGTGCTCGCGCGCGAAACCAGTATGTTCTGGGTTCGAGTCTCGCAGGGGGCGAGGTCATGGATGCGCAGTGTTGAGGAGTCCCACAATAGGACGAAACGTCCGTTCAGTGCTTCCAGGTTTTCCATGGTGGTCTAGCTTCAACTGACTCATGATTCTAATCATTGAAATTACTATAATATCCACAAAACCCATCTGATAAATAAAATAGGTTCACTTTTGAAATATTTATATTATTCTCAATTACATAATCAAGCAATCATTGTAAAGTTTTATCCATTAAATATCTATCAACAATCTAAAGAAACATTAACAGAAGAACGCATTTAACTGATATATCAACTTTATTATTAAAACTGTTCATTCTAATATATAGTTATCGGTTAATATAGTTTTTTTTTTTAATCTATCAGCAATGAATTACTTATTCGAAGTTATAGATCAATGAACACATGATGATAGATAGATAGATATGTGAATTGTTATAAGCTTTCATATTGAAATATAGATTATTCTATAGAACTTTCAATGACAAAGACATCGAACCTGTCATTCTACATCCTTTGGTTGACACTAAAACGTTCTGGTTTCTTTGTTTTGGAATCAAGAATTCATTTGAATAAACAATTCATATCCAAAAATAGATCCATAAATATATTGCACAGGGAAACATTAAAAGACTATGACAACACATAAATGTATTAAATGAAGATTGAACTAGTGTATGATTATACATAAAAGTGATCATGTAAATTAATCATTCTTATTGAATAGAAGTAATTGTGTAAACGTTTCATTTATACTTATAGGTTAGTAACTAATGAATGTAAATAATCTTGAATAAAAAAATTTAGTTTTCTAGTTGAAAAATGTTTATGCGTTTGTGAGAAAACTTTAGACTTATTACCATTACTATTATTATTATTATTATTATTATTATTATTATTATTATTATTATTATTATTATTATTATTATTCTATACAACATACTAACAAAATTTAAGTCAATTAACTGTAACTTTCAATAAAATAGAATCATTTGCTTAGATACAAAATTGTTAACGGTATCTGGTTATATCTGAGTAGTTATGTGTAATTTATGTGATATCATTGTCAGAAAGTATAAATGCTTTTCTTGGTATATAAACTTGTATTTTAAGAATAATTCGATTGTTCTTATGCAATTAAATAATCGTACAAACTTCGATGTGAATTTTAAAAAAAATTAAAATCTACCACTAAATATAAAATGCAGTCTTAATAATGGAAATTTCTGAGAAATTTCAATGTTCTGTACACTTTAACACTGATTAACTTTAGTTGGAAAATTAAAAATAAACGATTATCGGATATCGACTGAATGGTCTGAAGGTTAGGGGATCATGTACGAGACCAAATGTCCTGTGTTCGAGTCCCATATACAGGATCGTGGATATGTACTGATGAAGAGTTTCATATTAAAACGAAATGGTTGGCTTTTGCTTCCAGGTTTTCAATGGTGGTCTAGCTTAAATTGACTAATAAATTCAATTATTAAAATAATAAATTCACTTGGTATTGTTTACTTAAATCTTCCCAGTGACATTTAGTACTGCAATTGATCAGTTTCTTATAGGCATATGTGCATACTGTACGGATTGTCTTGATATTATCTTGATTCGCAATCATTATCGGCAAAATTGGATAGTAGCAAATAGTGGAACACGGTACGTGCGTTTCGTCCTATTTGGAACTCGTTAGCTGGATGTATCTGCATCCCGGAATTGTTTTTCACTCCTGCACTCGGACCCAGAACTGTTTGTTTCAAATGCGATCGCGGTACTGGGTTCGAGTTTTTGAGTGAAGATGTATGTTACGGATATTGAATCGATGCCAACAAACAATCTACGGCTTTTATATTATAACATCAGATCATGATGAACATTAACTAATTTGATTTTTCGGATTATAAAGAATGAGGGCTTGAGTGAAATTTTTAGGTAGTGTTTTGATTTCTCCTGAATTCCTAAGAAAGGTATTCAGAAAATACTTCATCTAATCAGTGTTTAAAAGAGACTTTTCAGAGAATTACAAGAAGACGATATACTGTGAGGCATACTTATTCGTCAACTTTGGGAAGATTCTATAATTTTCTAGCATTATAATGTCACAGATACATCTACACAAAACAATATTCTATATTCAAGTTTATCTTAGAAGTAAGGCTTCTTTTTATACCTACATACATTGGTTTACTGTTTAAGGTTCAAATGTAGGATATTTATGAAAGACTGGGTATCAGTTAACAAGTCTATATAAACAGGTTAAGTTACAGACAAATTTAGTAGCAACATAGTGTATTGGTTGATGGTGATATATTGATGATAATCATCTGAGAAAATGTACTCATGAAGTGCTTTTTGAATTACGTTTGCTTTCCACTACAAGTCAAACACCATTGTGTTAACATATTTTAAGAAGAGATTATGATAATTAGTCCGAATCCCCCGAGAGTATTGTAGATGCGCACTACTGAGAGTCCCATACTAGTACGGAACAGCCGTCCAGTGCTTCCAGGTTTTCCATGGTGGTTTAACTTATGTCGACCCATGAATTCAACTATTAAATTACTACATTTTACGTAAAACCTCTTTCTGATAATTTATTTCATTTAGTTTTGTGACTCCATGATACTCTTTTTTAAGTGCTTAGTAAACTTTACAGAAATCTATTTTCAGAAGGGGATTTTGTGGAGATTTTATTAATTTGTAAGTTGAAATCATGAGTCGATTGTGGCTAGACTACCATGGAAAACTTCGAAGCACTGGACGTTCGTTTCATCCTATTGTGAGACTCGTCAGCAGTGCGCATCCACTATCCCGCCTACAGTATTCAAACCCATGTATTTGTTTAATTTAGACCGTTGGATGTTAGCTCAGTGTCCTAGAGGTCAAGCGTTCGCACGCGAAACCGAAGGTCCTAGGCTCTAATCTCACGGGTGGTGTTGTAGGTGCACACTACTGAGGAGTCCCATACTAGGACAAATCGGTCGTCCAATGCTTCCAGGTTTTCCATAATAATCTTACTTTAATTAACCCACAAAGTCAACCAATAAATTAGTTTATAATCTTGAACGTCTGATATATTTATATACTACTTCTCCTGTTTTCTGATAAATTTAAAAGTTTAACATAACTTATAACCCTTCATAAAATTGTATTATAAATCCCTTAAATTAATTTCAATAAGGACAAACCCTAAAACTTAATTTTTGTTGTTGTTGTTGTTTTGAAGATTTGATTTAGATATTGAAAATAGAAAAGTGACTTAACGTTTATACTTTTACTCTTATCAATAAAAATTAATAATTAGTTTACACTAAAATTAAGGTCAATGAGCAATGAACCAACTGTTTATGTTGTGTTCAATTGATTATTATCCATTTTTGATTTTCTAATAAATAAACCATAAAATAGTTATTTTGTTTTTTTTTTCCTTTTTTATTGTTTATTCTTAATATTTTCCAAATTTTATTATCATTCACAACGAGATAGTTTGACTTGTTGTTTGTTTTGGAATTACACAAGTTTACTTGAATCTTATTTTACAATTTTGACAGTAGTATATTTAGTGTAGACAGTAGTATATATAGTATAGTATAATTTATTTTACATTTTAACATCATTTAATGATGTAATATTAAGGTGAAATATTATATTTTTCTTCTTTATTAGATTAATCATACATTCCTTTGATAACTTATTATTATTAGCTGTTGTTTTGAATAGTTCGTTGATTGACTGACCTTAATATCTAATGACAGTTTATGATTATTATGAACTTTCATTTACTATATGTAAATAATACAACAATCATTATAAGATGGATAGTGGCTAACCATGAGATCTAGTTTGATACGCGTTTCATCCTATTTGGGATTCCTCAGTTGGATGTACCTGCAATATCGAAGCAATCCGTACAGTATACATATATGCTAATAACATACCGATCAGTTGCATTTCTAAACATTAATGAGAAGATTCAAGTAAACAATACCAAGTGAATTTAAAATTTACACCATTACAAAAGCAAGTGGCTATCAGGACTCAGTATGCAAGTGGCACTTGAAGCGAACGGTACTGAGATGGAGTTCCAGAATGAACATCAATTCTGAAATGCAGGTACATCTAGCTAACGAGTGCCAAATAGGACGAAACGCGCGTCCTGGATTCCACTTCTAGCCACTATCCATCTTTGCTTAAAGATCTTGTGACTTAAGGCAATGTCAAGGCGATCCGTACAGTATGCACATACGTTAATAAAAGACTGATCAATTCCGGTGCTTAACATCAATGGGAAGATTCAAGTAGATAAAAAAGCATTAACACTAGGTTGTAAGTGTGTATCTGTCTGATGCGTCCCGAATATGATGAAATGAATATCCTGAATTTGACTGCTAACTACCATTCAACTACAAAAATGGCCATCCAGTGCTTAAAAGTTTTCCATGGTGGTCTAGCTACAATCGACTCATGATTTCAACTTACAAATTAATAAAATCTTCACAAAACTCCCTTCTGAAAATAGATTTCTCTAAAGTTTACTCAACACTTAAAGAAGAGTATTATGAAGTCACAAAACTAATTGAAATAAATGATTAGAAAGGGGTTTTGTGGAGGTAGCAGTGGTTTACTAGTTGAAATCATGAGTCGACATAAGTTAAACCACCATGGAAAACCTAGAAGCATTAGATGGCTGTTTCGCCTTAGTATATGTCTTATTAAGTTTTATTAATTCACAAAACTTTAGTCCGCTACCATGAATTTTTAAGCAAATAATCATTTCATAAAGACATAGTTAATGTTAGTAAAGTATTTTTGGATTTCGATTTGATTTCACATAACAGAATTTAGTAATGTTAGTGAATTTCTCGACTCTGAATATTGTTACTTTGAAAGTTTACTTATGATAGTAAATGTATATGGTAAAACAAACATAAAACAAGAAATTTTAATGAAAAGCTATCATCAAAAATGCTATGCAACCATTATGAATAACAATGAACACCTAGAAGTACTATCTGTTATAACTAGCGGCCTTGTGCCTCTATCAATATATGACGTAATGATACCACAAATTAGAGAATAGTGATTTATCGACGGACCAATCAGGCATAAAACCCGTAAGAGCAGTCTAGAGTATTTATCGGTTCTTCTTCCTGTCTAGTTCTACCTATTAAGTCCAGAACATAAATCTCAGCCTCCGTGATATGAATCATGTTTTTCAAACATACTGGTTTTATATACAAACGAAACAGACCACATCGTGCCGCCAAATAAAAAACAACATTTGTACAAGATCTAGCCAAAAGTGCCTGTGAATATAGGAGACTGTAATTAATAGACTAAGCAGAACTCAAGAACGGTAAATCGTATATTAATTGTCTATGGGTCAAAATAAAGCTTTAAATAAGAGGA